AGTGTCTAGAAGATATGATTTTATAATATAAATTTCTATAGGTTTGATGGCTCTCATCCATAAATTAACATTCAGCTGACAATAATTTCTGTAAACTGATCAACAATCTAGATATTGTTTATATTAAACGTTGTGTTTGACTACGAATGAGGCAATTTATTGCTGTAACCACGTGTCACATGCAACCAAAGAGGGGATAGGAAACATCTCTTATTCCCATCTTGTTGATATTAACATCTATAGAATTACCTTTAAACAAATGGAGGAGATTTCTTTTATTGATGTACTAACGATTTTTTTCGAGGAGATTGTCTCGGTCATCGACCGCAGAAGTCCCCCTTTTTCCCTTTTCACCTAATCACGAGGTTTATTAGAGGGGTGATACTGTTCTAAAACAAAAGGGTTTTGGACCTTCACAAATCTTTTGAATGCAAGAATTGCAAAACATATGGACATTTATTGTCAGATTTGTGAGATCTAGTTGAAATGCCATGAGTGATAAAATGGTAAGAAAATATATCAGACAGTTCAACAAAAGTGTGAGATGTACATAAGGAAGCATGCAGAGACTGTCTGTCTGTGGTTGATGCAAAAGTTTACAAGAACAGATGGTTTACAACTTCATTACTTTTTTGCATTTTTCAATAAATTTCATGGTTATTCACTAGAAAACTGTAACATTATTTCAGCTATCATAAGTCATGTTGGGTGCCAGAAATGCTTATCACTTTAGCAGATTATTAATGTGTTAACCTTTCTCATATGTTAGTGTGAGTAAAGTGATGAATTTTTGAGCACTATCATCACAGGTGATGACTATCGCACATCTTTGGAATTAAGACAGAAATCAGTTAAGTGGAGATAAATCTCATTGTTGAAAAGGCAGACAGGATAATGTGCACACAGTTTTTTAGTACAGCCTGCTTTTTGAATTCTTGTCTAATGACAAAAATAAACAGCAGCCTGTGCAAGACTGAAGAAATTATGCTGCTGTACAATCCAAAACAAAAGGCATAGTACACTTGTGGAGTTGTTTGAAGAATGGTTAGTCACTCAGTCTTATACTATTGCTCAGATTCATTGAGCAACAATATATGGCTGAGTATTGTACTAATATGTATAGGTAGGGAATTTTTTACTTGAATATAAGCAGACTATATACTTTATACTTTTTATATTGAAGATATTTTTCCTCATTCTATTTGCAAATTTTAAATAATTACAGACAGCCTTACAGCTTGGATGAGCATCAATTCTTTTAAAATTAATCAAATGCAATTTATAAGAATATAATTGAATATTAAATCAAAATAACAAAATCTAACTAAAATCCAAAATATGAAGTCAGAATAATGAAATACAATAAGTATTAATTATTATTAACACAAAATCAAAAATAACTAAATATCACATAATTGCATGCCAGTAAAATTTTTCATGATAACATTTTAGACATATATGACATAGATTAAAGCCAGATGATTGCTGAATTATATTAGGCTATATATTACTAATAATAATAATAATATAGCCTGATATAATTCAGCAATCATCTAGCTTTAATATATAACTATTGGGTTTGGATTTTATATTTGTATATATTACGTGGATTTTTCATTTCTTTTCTAAGATCCAAATGCTTCAATACAATACAATAAAATCTATATAAACTATTTTCTAAAATCTATATAATTTTTTACCTTATTCTGTAAATATTTTTCTGAAACTGAATTTTGTTGTTATGATATATATTACAGATATGTTTCATTAAGTCTAAATTTTTATAATTATTTTGCCTTTTTTTAATTCTAATTTATACTAATAAATAGAAATTTCATAATTTGGATTTATATTAGATATAAACCATCTATTGTTAATAATATATTTTTTTAATAATTTAGTTTAATGATTTAAATATTTATTATTATTATTAATTTTTTAAAAATTTGTTTTAGGAATTTGCATCAAGGTTACGATCACAAAATTCCTCAACAGGTATTTATTTACTTATTTAAGAACTGTATAACAAACTTTTAAAAGATAAATTTATCATTTAAATTTATATATTTTTTAAAATTAATTATGATAATGCAAACTCTTTATTCTTTTATGAGAGGCATTCATAAAAATATACTATTTTTATTTTTAATTCAAAAATAATTGATTTAGATAGTTTATAAAATGAAATACATTTATTTTTAACCAAATTTGCAGTTTTTTCTTCAAAGATTAATCTGTATTAAAACCTTAAAATTTAACTATTTTTTGTTAATAATTATATGACACAATTTATTACTGTTTATTTCTAAATTAATTGTCTTGTAATTTCCCTTCCAGTAATTGGTTTATATTAAATATAAAATGAGTGACATTATCAATGAAGTTTAAAAACTTTCGAAATTTTTTATTTATTTTAATTATTAGTCTATATATTATTGATAGCTTAAGTATATTTTTAAATTTTATAACTAATTTTGTTATCTTAAGACCTAAATACATGCATTAGTACTTGGAAGTTAAATACTAAATTATATGAAATTAATAAAGGAATTATAAAAAACAAATATATAGAATACTAACAAAGTCATAAATAAATGCTTTATGCTTGCAACTTGAATGTATGATATCCAAAATTGAAGGGTTCAAAATAGGCAATAAATTTTAAAAAATAATAGTTTAGATTACAATAATAAAAATAGCAGATAAATTTACTTTTTATTATTACAATGCATTCTTATCAAATTGTTCTTTAGGAAAAATGGAAATTTTCAGTTCATAATTAATGTAGAATCTAAATATTTTGGTGTTATTTTTATTTTAAATAAATTTACATTGTTAATTCTTTTATTTTATGAAAATTTATTGAAATAAACTCATTTATTAAAGAAATCATAATAATAATTTATATTAAGTTAACAGGCTTGTCATTTTTCAATTGCTTAAAATTTTTATAGGTCAGTGTATACATTTATAATTTCATTAATTTGTTTTTATTAAGAAAATTTTACTGTATTTATACTTTTTACTTTAAAAAATATTTATGTATATATTAGGAATGCACGGATGTTTAGCTCTCCCTTTTGGTGGTCGTTCAACAAGAAGTTCCTCCACAACTGTACATAGTCCTAGTTCAAGCCCTACAAGAACACAGAGTGCACAAGGTTCTCCTACAAATACACACAAACCCTGGAGACCACGTGCTCGATCAGCTGATGAAAGTACAAGAAAAATTGTAAGAATTAATATAATTGTTTGAATAGCAAAAAATTTATTAAGCTTAAAATTAGTCTTTATTTTGTAAATATTCTGTAGTTTTACTTGACAAGTTTATTTGAATCTTGAATGTGTATTATGTAAGTTTTTAACTTGATTACATTTAAAATGTTTTTAGTATTAAAGTGTAATCTTCCTGTATAACTATATAATGAAAGTTGATGCAAATTCATAAGAATAAAATGTTCTGCAAACTCAAATGCAATAAGCAGATTAATTTTATTGTTAATAATGTTTGCTTAAAACAGTTTAATAATAGTACTGTTCCAATCATCCATATATCAAACTGAAACCAATAAGTGTTTGCAATAGTGATTATTCAAGTTTTTAGAACATCAGTATTCTAGATAAATACTGAATTTTATTGACATATGTTGAATATTGATATTTTTTTTTTATCAACGATGAATGTTGGTAATTGAATAATTGTGTTTATCAACTTTACTTTCTTCAACATAATAATTTGCCCAGCTGTCAGAAAATAACATTAAAATTGTGGAGGAGATTGTTTCAGTTCTCACAATTAGTACTATGCTAATAACCAATATATCAGACTAAAACCATTAAATTTTCAATATTAATATTGATATTTTAGATTTTAGAATGCTTATATTGATATTGTAAACATTTATTGGTTTCAGTTTGATATATTTGTTTCAATCTCCTCAGCAACAACCCCTTTTAGAATTTTAACACTAGTGCAATTTTCTGACTTCTAGTGAAATTTTTATGTTTAAAGAAATAAAGATGATTATTATAATTAACAAATATCAAATTATTAATATTCAACATTAAAATAAGTCTATTTTTCGGTATTTATCAATTATCAATATATTGAATGAATCTTTATCAACCCCATTATTGATATCAAAATTTTGGTTTAGTACAGCCTTATTAATTAATAGCTTACAAACAGTTTTTTTTTTACAATTTATAGTGCATATGATGTACAAATGATTTTAGTAATTTTCTTGTTATATAGCATTTCTAGTAATAAATATTTTTAAGAAATATTTGCTACATTTATTAAATACAGGTAGCCCTCGGTTTACGCCGCAGTTCTGTTCCTACAAAAGCTGGCGCAAATCGAATCGGCGTAAAACGAACCCATATTTGCATTGAGGTATAGGGTTAGGTTCCACATAAGTGAAAAATACGCAAATAATTTTGTTTATTAATACAATATAATACAAAGTACAAATAAATTTAATTTTTAAAATGTATTTTATCATAAAATAAATTTAAATGTTTTTATTAAAAATTTTAGTTTCGGATCTCTTACATTTTTCTGAAAAAGTATCCATCTTTAATTGTTTACATTTTTGTTTACTTTCATTGAGAATTTCGGAATATGGTTGAATGGATGCGACGATGCTTTTTTTTACATTCACACTTCGCTTCCAATCATTGTCTAACTCACAAAGTTCATCCGTCAAACAGTCGAAAGGATACGTTAACCCGACATATAGCTACGGACGAGCGGAGACACTGATTGGTCGACCACTGGTTGCCATAGCGCATATGTAAGGTCAGTTTGAGCGGGAAAATTAAGGATAGATATCGTCTGGCCAACGAGAAGTAGATTTGTCTCACTAATGATAGTTTTTGATCAGCGGAAGTGCTACTGCGTCGTAAGGTGTTTTCCTGAACGAACTGATACGGGATAAATTCAATGGCGCTATGGATTCGGACGCCATTTATTGGACTATTAAGTTTGATAACTTGACTCATGGATACCTAAACATTTAGTATTTTAATATTAATTTAATGCAAATGTATACATACCCAATAATATTAAACAGAAAAAATAAATATATTCAATAAAAATCTTTGTTTTAACGAATGTACAATGTCGTGGCTCGGTAAATACGTCAACACTGAAACGAAAATCAGTCTGGTATAGAGAAAACCGGGGAATTACACAGCAAAATCATGAATTGTGCAGCGGGGTGTTATTGTGAATCAGCGTAAACCGAGGGCGAGTACTACATTTTTACTTATTACACACCGGTTAAAGGTTCACTTTTTTATAATTTTTTGTTTGTTATATATATCCTGGTGCACGGTTCTGGATTTATTTAATTTTTATTTAGTCAGTATTACTGCTAAATTTAGTAATTAACCACAAATATTCTAAACCAATAGTTTTAGTATAAAACAGTTACTTTTCTTGATATATATGTCATAATGCAGCTATATAATGAAATGGATTATATTATAAATATAGATGCAATGTAACTTATAAAATTAAAAATTGATTCTTGCTATTCTGAACTACATGCAAGAATTAGCTATCAATGATTATTTTGCATCTAACATAATTTTCAATTTAACAAATATTCATGTATATTTTATGAAAAAAAATCTGTTAAATAAACAATAATTTACTAACTTCAATATCATCATCGTCCTCTTCTTCATCATCGTCATCTTCTTTGGCTTTCTTTTTCAAAACGTATAATTTTTTCCATTGTGTAGTATCTTCTCCTTCTCCTGGTTTTCTTAAATTGAATTTTGGGACAGATCGCTTACTTTCTTGTTCTCTCTTCCATTCATCCAAAGTCATTTCCTTTGGGCCTTCTTCAACAGATTCTGGATTTTCTTCTATAGTAGTTGGTTCATTCTCTCTAATTAAAAAAAAAAACACATTTAAAATTATTATAGATGATTATTTGCAATTTATGTGTATGTATATATATATATATATACACATAAACAAAACATCTGTAAATGTATTACTACTGGTGTATATATTTATCACAATAATTTATATTATTGTTCAAAATAAAATGAATAAAGAATATTAGTTCGTAATATTGATCGATAGCAAAATAAAGGTTAGATTCCAAACAAAGGATATATTATAATCTGTGATAATTTTAAAACTAAAAATTGTACATTCATAAATGTTATATCGAATTGTACAGAACAATATTTCAAGTCGTTCTAGCTAGTTTCAAGAACAAACTACGTAACTGGAGAATGTTACTTTTAACAAAATGTTACAAATTTTCACAGATGTCAGTTCTGATATATTATAATTTTTTTTCTATCGAATTTTTTATTGAAACGTAATTAAAAATGCGTATTTAAAACTACAGATATTAATATATGTAACGTGATTTTTTTCATATGACTATAATGATAATTTGATTTTTGATGAATTTTTAAAATAATATCAGCTGACTAACCTATATTGCCTTAGGACAGATTACAACATAAACAAGATGGTGGTGGTAAAGGTTAATACTACGAAGCAAAAAGAAAATCGAAAACCATGAAATATTCTTATGTCATCTATGATATTAAAGTTGTTGATTTTAAGCAGAATTTTTGAAGTTAAGAATTTTTTATGTTTGTACTTACCCTAATATAGCTTCATGCATATTCTGTGCAATTATAGTATCTTCAGTTTGCATCCATAATTCACCTGCTCCTGTTACTGATGAACGACCCAACTCCATAAAGAAGAAGCAATCTGAATGCCCACATCTTCGAATGCTCATCAACTATTAAATGACAACACAATTCATTATTGAAAGAATGCTTGTAACATATACATTTCATGGAAATCAAAAAGTTTCCACAAATAAAAATTAGATAGTATGTTTAATGTAAATATTTTTAATGATTTAACCTATAGGAAAGAAAAACAAATCCATATTTGTTATTGTTTTAAATGTCAAATGTGAATTTAACATATTGACTGCTAACTACAAGTTAACTTATAAATGACTGATTCTTTTAGGATGTCTCGTACAAGTTATCTTGTGAAATGCAANAACAGTAAATTGTTAGAAGTTGTTATTAAAAATAAAAGTAAATTTAATGATTTTTTTTGGTTATAAAAATTAAATAACGGACTTATTACACACCGGTTAAAGGTTCACTTTTTTATAATTTTTTGTTTGTTATATATATCCTGGTGCACGGTTCTGGATTTATTTAATTTTTATTTAGTCAGTATTACTGCTAAATTTAGTAATTAACCACAAATATTCTAAACCAATAGTTTTAGTATAAAACAGTTACTTTTCTTGATATATATGTCATAATGCAGCTATATAATGAAATGGATTATATTATAAATATAGATGCAATGTAACTTATAAAATTAAAAATTGATTCTTGCTATTCTGAACTACATGCAAGAATTAGCTATCAATGATTATTTTGCATCTAACATAATTTTCAATTTAACAAATATTCATGTATATTTTATGAAAAAAAATCTGTTAAATAAACAATAATTTACTAACTTCAATATCATCATCGTCCTCTTCTTCATCATCGTCATCTTCTTTGGCTTTCTTTTTCAAAACGTATAATTTTTTCCATTGTGTAGTATCTTCTCCTTCTCCTGGTTTTCTTAAATTGAATTTTGGGACAGATCGCTTACTTTCTTGTTCTCTCTTCCATTCATCCAAAGTCATTTCCTTTGGGCCTTCTTCAACAGATTCTGGATTTTCTTCTATAGTAGTTGGTTCATTCTCTCTAATTAAAAAAAAAAAACACATTTAAAATTATTATAGATGATTATTTGCAATTTATGTGTATGTATATATATATATATATACACATAAATTGCACACATAAAAACATAAAAAGCACATAAAAACATACACATACAATTATAAAAAAGTACAAAAATAGATGTAAATTACAACAATAACTACTCAAATTTAATTACTTGGTTTCATTGTTTTCAACTGGCAATGATTCATCTCCACTCCGTTCACCTAATTCTGGATTTTCATCACTTGGTGGATTCCACTGAACTCTGAGAATAAATTAAATTTCAGAATAAAATATAATTTTCATAAATCAATTTTTACTTGAAAAATTTATTTATGAATTTAAATTTAAAAAAAAATCAATTTTACAAACTAAACTTTTCAATTAATTAGAAGAATAACACTTTTTAGAATTGAAGCCCTTGGGACTTACCATGTTTCTGAGGTAATTGAGTTTGAAATTTTAAAAAAATCCTAAAATGAAAAATCCCAAAACAATGAAATGACAGCCACATCTACAAGCGATGTTCTGAGAATAAAAATATTAACACATTCATATTCATGAGATTTTACAATGTTTTCAAACATTCAAACTCAATTTTCTCAGAAATGTGATTCTAAGGGTTACAAGGCCTATCCCAAAGGCCATCAATTGTTAAATTATTACAATTTATAATAAGACATTTATATATAATATAATATTATATATTATATTATATATAAATATTATATATAAGTAATTTATCCTGTTATTAAATCCACAATCCTAAAATTATGTGAATTTGAAAAAAGGATAGTTATTGTTTATTAATAAATTTTGTAATCTGTCACAAAAGTATAAATTTATTAAATTTGTCCCTTAATAAATTTCCTGAATGTCAAATTATCAAACTGGAAAAAGAACAACGATAATTCTATTAACTGGAAATTAACTTTTTAATAATTTTGATTGTGTAATAGAAATGATACTATTTGAATTATTTGCACTTTGCTTTCAGTTTTAAGTAGTTCACTAATACCTGCCCTCAAATTGTGTGTGTGAAAGGTACTTTTGAGTAGTTCAGTAAGTTAAAATTTTAAAAGTTCTCACAATTCATAATATTTTTAACATTTTGAAATATTTTAAATTTAAATGTAACAATTAATACACTACATTATACCAGTTACTTAAAATATAACACAGAGATTGAACCAACGCTTTACATGAACCAGTGATGATGAAACTGATTGGCAGGCCAAATTGTGCACAAGTCAAATATTTTGTATATACAAAAATACAGACCTATTTCTATCATTTGTAAGTGATGTACGAAATACGCATACAAGCTGGATTAACAAGTGCCTATTTTTGTATCACTACTTTTAATACATTTAATTGGTATACTTGAACCTGAAGTGACATGTTTTTATCTATAACAAATTTTCACTCACACACACACACACCTCAAGTAAAACACTTACTCCATTTCATCCTTTACCATGCCCCAATTGTGTGCACCAGCACCTTCTCTTTTTTCCACAAATTTCACACCACTGAAATAAATTAAATATCATCAATTTCTGAAACAAATTATACTGAAAAATATAAATTTATTATTAACAGTAAAATCTTTATAATTACTATAATATATACTACCTAATTCAGTTATTTTATTGTTTGTCATGATAGTTTAACCCTTTGCTGCTAATAGATACATTTTCATATATAGAGGATATTCCACACACATCTGTTCACTTGTACAGTACATATCCTTTTATCAACTTGTTTTTGCTATATGCTTGGTAATAGTTTATACTATGACATATTAATAACAATCTTTTAACAAATTGGAAATTGCATAAAATTGTTCAAAGATCATGCTAGTTGTATATATCTGTTCCTTTCTGGAAAAAGGATTTACACACAGATGTATGCCTCATAGGAGGTAGATTATCAACCATGGCAAAACCCAATTCTCGATCAAATATTTTAATAACAGACATCTTATTCCAAGTGTTTACTGTACAATTACATTTGCACCTTAAAAAATAACTGCTATTAATACTAATAGGCCAATTATGAGGAAAAAAATTGCATCAAAAGCATGTTTTTCAGAAATTTAACATTTTGTGTTCTTTTGTATAGTTTTACCTGATGATTAGGTTTGTAATGCTTTAGTTAAATGAAAAATCATAATAATTCAATGCAAATATTTGAATTACAAAATATAAATTATTAGAAATTTTATTTTATATTTCATAACCACAATACTTTTTTTTTTACTTGAAAACATCTGTATTTCCATAATTGTCGAAAATTTAAATGATAAAAAAAACAATGTTTAAATAAGATTTGGATATGTTTGGTTATTTAATGAATGGCTACTTCATTTATTTATTAATACAGAACTGAACCCAAAGAAAAATTATTTAGATATTTTTTAGTTAAATGTTTTGAATCTTGTAATTATTTTTTAAGAAAAATTTAAAAGTTGGCCAATGGTATTAACATTTTACAGAATAAAAATATCGCAAAATAAAAGATTGTCCCCGCGTGTGAAAATTATTTTGGATTGNAGAATCGATTAATTTTATGAAAGAAAACCTTTCAAACAGCCGTAGTCCGTAAACTATGATTCCTACAAAATTGATTCATAAAGAACGGAAAGTATCTACCATCTTATAGGGGGATCTACTGTATTTTTGTTTCCAAATATTCAAGTTACTTTATTTTCAATTGGAAAAATTTGAGTTAAATATCTGGAATGAACTATTCTCTTATACCTGACAAATTTTTATTTTTGAAGATAATACATATCATAATTTCAGTATTTACAAATTAAGATAACTTAAAAACATTACTAATAAACTAAATGAGATCTGTAATAACAAAACTAATACACTTTAGAAAAACAATCAATTTACCGACTGGCATCCGAGGAATGAAATGTCTTCAATCAATTAGTATTTGTTTACACAACAAACTGAAAATCAGAAAAATACTTGCCGCTTAGTGTCCCAAGTACCACAGGCATTAAATCTTTAGTCAATTTTTTTTAGTATTTAAAAAAAATTAACTTTTTATGTATGTTAAAAAATAAAATTCTGTAATATTGACAACTCTACAAATTAGTGATTAGTCTGACACAGCAAATTTATTATAGAAATATGAATTTTAGATGACAAAAATATTTTGTTTTAGAAATCAAGTTTTAGTTTTAGGAGATGACAGCTGAACTGAAGTTTACTGCTTTCATTTTTATGTGAATAAAGCAAAATTACACAGAAAGGGGCAAAGTTATTTTTTTAAAAAAAGCATAGAAACAATTTAATTTGTGCATTATTTATTAGAAAGATGAGATACATTGGTTAAACAGAAGTTAATATTTTACTCATTTAGCTTGATTACATGATGCAACTGAGAAATATCTACCATCAAAATGCACCAGAATGCATTCATATTAACTAGTATTCTCTTCGATAATATCAATGGCACTAAATTTTTAGAACAATTTTTCATTCGAAAATGAAAAAGTATACAAGAAAATAAAAACACACACACTGACTTTTGAATCCAAAGCAGTCACTTTATAATTTAACCAGGCAAAAACAAAAGCAATAAAGGGGGAAGTGCATCTAGGCATGCAATTTAGTCCTTAAATAAACAATATTCTTTTGACCAAATAGAAATTTAGATATTAAGATAGTAAGACAAAAAAGTTACAGCTTATAGGAAAGCGAACATTTAGGCAAACTTCCTTGGGAAGAATTTTGAATCAGGTACTGAATGAAATTCTGTATTATTTTTTTGATAAAACCAAATTTGTCACGTGGACACAGATTTCGTGCTAATTTTCCTTGACTCTTGTTACTGCTCATAATTACTAATAATAAAGTCATTACAAAAAACCACAATAGCACCATGACAATTTCATTTTTATTTTGACAAACTCAATAAATCAACAGATGCAGAATATAACTTCCAGTAAATTCGACCAGATTTGACTTGAAAGCACATCAGTGATGATTGAAGTAGTGACGGCGAGACAACCACTCACCTATGTTTGTCTGTAAGCTGTATGGGACATAGGACAACAAACCAACATTTAAGACAAATCAGTGGTAACAACTACCATTTATGACCCGATTCTATTTATGATCTTTTAAGCAACGGATGCACGATTTTCCGTTACTAACTAGTTAATGACTGACAATGTCTTCCTTGTTTACAGGATGACCAGCAACAAGTTATATTAGCATATTTTCAATGCTGAAAACATTGGGACAATAAGAGTTCAATACAAAAGGCTGATCTATTCAGCCTCTGTCACAATGAGCTGCAAATAATCTAAACATTGTTAGGCTTCTCCAATTTGTCCATCAAAACAATTTTTTTACGCGATTTCTATATAACAAGAAAAGTTTTGAGGACAGTTTTTGTAGAGTGCCAAACTTTAAAGATGTAGCCTGTGGATAGGACAGAGGTATTTAGGCTGTAATTAAAGAAGGAAAGTCATTCCAGTCATCCACACGAGGAGCGAGTTGTTCTGACTTAGGGCCCTTTGCACCTCCACGATTCATTCCTCCGCGACCTCTTCCTCCTAAACCACGACCGCCTCTTCCTCTTCCTCGACCACGGCGAGAGTCGCTGAAGTTTATCTGAATGTCAACCAAATGTCTTTGTCGGCCTCTTCTACCAAATTCTTCTTCCTCCTGTAAGATAACAATTTTATAGCAACAATTCAAATAATTTTTCCAGTTTTATAAGAACTTAAACTTACAGTTCAATCAATGTAACAACAACAGCTCAAAAAGTAAATTTACATAATTTAAGAAAGTAAATAAAATGTTTAACAAAAACCAGGGCAAAGTTAAAAATGCTAACTTTGATTAGTGGTATATGACCTCAGAACAAGAATAATCCAAGAATAACCAGTAAGTCCTAATTTTAAGATAATTAACAAAACATTTTACACAATATTACTCATATTTCCTTCTTTTGTTTCCTTTTTTTGGGTCTGGAATGTAGCAACAAATTTGACTTAGATCTGTATTGCATTCGATAAAGCAGTTAGTTCTAAGCAAACTCCACATACCAAGGCTATAACATCAAAAACCAGACCTAGATCATTCTTGCTCTGAGGTCACCCATAAGTAACATACTAAATCCCACATTAATGTACAGATTCTTGTTCTTTTACCATCAGTTTTTACTTAATAATTTAGTTGAAAATCAAATTCTTAAATTAAGACTTCTAAAGACTGGCATTCACGATTTTGTTTATATTCAAGACCAGAAGTCAAACCATAAAGAAAAAACTTACAAGTCTCCCTGCTTAATAAAAATGAAATAGTAGTAACTCCCCTTAAATATTCTTTAAAATCTAGGTTTATACATATAAGATATGATACAGTACTGAATTCTGCTGATAAAATACAATCTGATAATTTTTCAATCAATCCAATCCTCATTTCTGTCCATATTCTACAAGTGTTGGTAAAAAAAATGAAAGCCTGAAAGCTCAATAGTTTAAAAAATATTCACTTTGTTCACTAACTACTTAAATTCAAATATAAAGATATAAAAGTTTACAAAGTGATTTAACCTGTCCTACATTGATCCTGAAAATTTTCGGGTTGACCTCTGACATGCGTGGGCAATCCCGAATATTTCCGTGTTTACATTGGAACGTTTTTGATACTAGATGTCGCTTTTTGCGTCACAATTATTATATCAAAACAAACTTTTAAAATAAAATTTTTTTTGTTTTTATATTATTCAATATATATATATTTTGTTTGTGAAACATAAAAAAATAATTTTTTACGATATAGTAAACACAATTTTTATTTAAAAAAAATTTAGGCTTAAATTGACGAAAATTCAACATGGCATCACAGGCAACAAATAAAAATTTCAACATTGAATAGGTTAAGAGCTCTGAGATCTGAGCCCTAGACAATTATAATTGTCAAGTTTGCTTAGGAGAGAGTATGGTTCTTATTAAGAAAAAATTCAAATCATAATTTGAATAAATTTATAATGGAGTAGAAAAATCACCAGATTGAAAACTCATTGCCAAATCACTAACTGGCTTGAAATATTGCCAAATCTGGAAACACATCACTCACACATTACACATCCATTGCTAAACAGTGCACCAACAAGATGGCTCCCTCCAGAAGTGACAACAGCTGTAAGTCACATCACTGGTGTTGAATCATATGCTCTGACAACTGTTTTACATCAAGATACATTAATATTACTTCAGTATCATTAAAAAGATTTTATTTGAAAGTATACTATAACAACTTTCTTGGAATACTATGAAAGCAAACAGTAATTAATACCAGAGTTAATATGTTTATTAAATTTAAACAGTAAAATATTTTTCTTTGATACTTATTAAATATTAACACTATTATATAATTTTCAACAGTAAATTGTTAGAAGTTGTTATTAAAAATAAAAGTAAATTTAATGATTTTTTTTGGTTATAAAAATTAAATAACGGACTTATTACACACCGGTTAAAGGTTCACTTTTTTATAATTTTTTGTTTGTTATATATATCCTGGTGCACGGTTCTGGATTTATTTAATTTTTATTTAGTCAGTATTACTGCTAAATTTAGTAATTAACCACAAATATTCTAAACCAATAGTTTTAGTATAAAACAGTTACTTTTCTTGATATATATGTCATAATGCAGCTATATAATGAAATGGATTATATTATAAATATAGATGCAATGTAACTTATAAAATTAAAAATTGATTCTTGCTATTCTGAACTACATGCAAGAATTAGCTATCAATGATTATTTTGCATCTAACATAATTTTCAATTTAACAAATATTCATGTATATTTTATGAAAAAAAATCTGTTAAATAAACAATAATTTACTAACTTCAATATCATCATCGTCCTCTTCTTCATCATCGTCATCTTCTTTGGCTTTCTTTTTCAAAACGTATAATTTTTTCCATTGTGTAGTATCTTCTCCTTCTCCTGGTTTTCTTAAATTGAATTTTGGGACAGATCGCTTACTTTCTTGTTCTCTCTTCCATTCATCCAAAGTCATTTCCTTTGGGCCTTCTTCAACAGATTCTGGATTTTCTTCTATAGTAGTTGGTTCATTCTCTCTAATTAAAAAAAAAACACATTTAAAATTATTATAGATGATTATTTGCAATTTATGTGTATGTATATATATATATNTTTTATTTTATATTTCATAACCACAATACTTTTTTTTTTACTTGAAAACATCTGTATTTCCATAATTGTCGAAAATTTAAATGATAAAAAAAACAATGTTTAAATAAGATTTGGATATGTTTTGGATATGTTTGGTTATTTAATGAATGGCTACTTCATTTATTTATTAATACAGAACTGAACCCAAAGAAAAATTATTTAGATATTTTTTAGTTAAATGTTTTGAATCTTGTAATTATTTTTTAAGAAAAATTTAAAAGTTGGCCAATGGTATTAACATTTTACAGAATAAAAATATCGCAAAATAAAAGATTGTCCCCGCGTGTGAAAATTATTTTGGATTGCCAATGCATTGAAATGACAGAAAAGAAACAAAAACAGTTTTTTTTATACATTCATGATATTTTTAGTTTTAAAAATTTATGAAAAAAAATTAAATTTTAACCAAATATTTTCCTTGCAATCATATTTAGCTAACTTATGAACAACAGTAAAAACAGAACACAGTCTTAGAATGTATATGTTATAAATTTAAAAAAAAGATTACAAACTTTACTAAATATGTAGTTTAGTAGTTAAAAAAAAATTTTTTTTATAAAACTGTATTTAATAAGACTTCAGATTAATTTGTCAAAACATTACACAGTATAGAATTAAATATAGGAAAATAATTACCTTTTATCACTTCCACTTTGACGATCAAATTCTCTTTTACCACGATTATCATAATTGCCAAATCCACCANTCAACAGTAAATTGTTAGAAGTTGTTATTAAAAATAAAAGTAAATTTAATGATTTTTTTTGGTTATAAAAATTAAATAACGGACTTATTACACACCGATTAAAGGTTCATATAAGTAAAAATGTAATACTTCAAAACCCTTTCCGAGTTCTTCAGGTAAATCAGCTGGATCTTCTAAAAAGAATAACGAATACAAGAATTTTTGAACAAAATTGAACGATGTAAATTTCAAATGTCCAGTTCCTCTGCTCATCAATTCCCGTGTCGTGTTTAAAAATGTTCTGACTTATTGACAACTGTTTTGAACATTGTTGGCTAACAAATCAAAAATCACACAACAAAAATAAATTTACATGTGTATGAGATGTAATAACCAGAACATAAGTGTACGTGTTCCCGTATTTTCTTTGAAACTAAGAATATAATGTTAAGTTTGTAGTAAAGACTGCCAGGCCATTAAAAGACCATTCTCATTCTTTGAATTAATGCAGGAGGATGTGTTGTAAGCTTAAAAATCTCCATTGCTTCCAACCATTTGAGTGTGGGATGGCGACTTAATTTTGCTCCTGTGATGTCTGCCACAATTTCAGGATCCGTGGCGTATGTGGAGAGCAAGGTTATACATCTATTGTGTTGTATATCCAACTTAGAATCAACAAAACGGTCAATGTGCATCAGGTTAACCAGTTGTTTGCTGGATACTACCATTGGAGAAACCAGTTTTAGTTAAATTGTTGCTGAGTACTCCAGTTGGAGAAAGTGTCAATTTTTTTTTGTAAATAACTAGTTGGTGGCAATTTAAGCACTGATTGGCTTTTATCTACATAGACTAAGTCTGTTTCAATGTATAAAGATATTTGTTACCACCCTGTATTTTTAAATTTACCCACAAAACTCCTCCTTTCCATGTCAAGTCTACGGGAGACCATTCTTTCATTCATTGAACAATAAAATCATTGTTCGCATGCCTGTTGAGCTCTAATTGGTATATTACAGCTAAATGACTATCAAACAATCCTTTAAAAAATAAGCATAGACTTGGGTTTGTGGAGTGGGAACTTTCTTGGAAAAAGTCATACCTTCTCGGAGCTACATTGTCAGATACAAATGTAAGCAAACAATTATAAATCATTACAATAGAGCGTCGTTTATCCGAAAGCTGGTTATCCGAAATGTCCATTATCCGAAAGCATTCCAGTCGGCAAATTTAAATTTTCGTTAGTGCTGTGGCGCTGCAATCTTCGGATATTTCTCGGGCTACTCAAATATTTTACGTTTTTGATACTAAATTAACATCTGAAGTATAATTTTTATTGTTTTTATATTTTTCAATAAATTTATTTTGTTTGTACAAAATAAAAAAAATAATTTTTAACGATACAATAGTCTTCGTTAGGCTTAACATCGACGAAAATTCAACGCGAAGCGACACGCAACGGAGAGAAAT